GCCATAGCAGAGAGCTGTATAGGAGATGGAGCAGCCGTGACTTGAACCTGGTGCTTCAGGCCAGAGCTTTTTTCTTATTTTATTTTATTTATTTATTTATTTATTGACAGGCAGAGTTAGAGAGAGAGAGACAGAGAAAAAGGTCTTCCTTCTTTTGGTTCACCCCCCAGATGGCCGTCACGGCTGGCACGCTGCACCTATCTGAAGCCAGGAGCCAGGTGCTTCCTCCTGGTCTCCCATGGGGTGCAGGACCCAAGCACTTGGGCCATCCTCCACTGCACTCCCGGGCCACAGCAGAGAGCTGGACTGGAAGAGGAGCAACCAGGACAGAATCCGGCACCCCAACCAGGACTAGAACCCTGGATGCCGGCGCCGCAGGTGGAGGATTAGCCAAGTGAGCCGCGGTGCTGGCCCAGGCCAGAACTTTTACCCACTGTGCCACAGCACTGGCCCTGAGAAAATTTTACTTTAAAGCCACAGAAATAACATGATTTTGCTTCAAACATGATGCATTTAAAATTTTATTTCTAATAGATATGTAATCTTAATATCATCTTTGCTAACCATCTGAAAATCATCTTTGGAGAAATGTCTTTGCAACTCCTTTGCCCATTTTTTAATCAGGTTATATTTTTTAATGTTAGTTGTAGAAGCTCTTTACATATTCTGGATATTAGTCCCTTATCAGAAATATGATTGCAAATATTTTCTCCAATTACATAGGTTGACCTTTCATACTATTAATTGCATCTTTTGATGCACAGAAGTTTTTAATTTTGATGTAGCCCAATTTACCTATTCTTTCGTTGTCTGTTTTTTGGTGACTTATTTAAGAAATCACCACCTAGTTCAATATCATGAACCTTTCGCTCGTGGTTTTTTTTATGTTATATGGTATTGGATGTTACATTTAGGTCACTGGCTCATTTTGAGTTAGTTTTTATATGGGGTGTAACACGAGAGTTCAACTTCATTCTTTTGCATCTGGAGATTCAGTTATCACAACACCATTTGTTGAAAAGACTGTTTTTCCCATTGGGTGTCTCTGGCATTCTAGCCAAAAATCACTGGCTTGTATAAATGAAGGTTTATTTCTGAAATCTCTATTTGATTCCATAGAGTTTTGTGTTTGTCTTTATGCCAGTACCACACTGATTTGATTATTGCAGCTTTGTAAAAAGTTTTGAGACCTTCAACTTTGTTCTTTTTGGGGGATGTTTTGGCTATTTGACGTCTTTTGAAATTCTTAATGAATTGTAAGATAAAATTTTATATTTCTGCAAATGCCATTGGATTTTGATAGTAATTGCAATGAATCTGTATATCAATCAGGTAATATTGACACCTTAACAACATCGACTCTTTCAATCCATGAACAAGGGATAACTTTCCATTTATTTTCATCTTTAATTTTTTCAGCAACATTTTGTGATTTTTCAGCACACAAGTTTCTATATCCATGATTTTTTCCTAAGAATTTCTCATTTTTTTCTGTTATTACTTTAAATGGAATTGTTTAATTTCCTTTTCCGATGGCTGATTGTTACCATATGGAGACACAACTGGTTATTGTTGATTTTGTATTCTGCAATTTTGCTGAATTTGTTTAAAAGATTTTGGTGGAAATTTTTGGGTTTTCAACATATAAGATAATGTCATCTGTGGATAGGGATAATTTTGCATCTTTTTCTCCCCTAATTTATATATATATTTTTTATTTCTTTTTATTGACCATTAGCTCTGGCTAGGATTTCCAATACCATATCATAAAAGAGTGATAGAGTGGGCATCCTTGTCTTGTCCCTACTCTTAGAGGAAAAGTTTTTCAGTCTTTTATCAGAGGAGAAATTTGTTAGATTTTTCAGATCTGGGCTTGTTATGTCCACATAATTGTCTTCTGTTTTTAGTTATTTGATCATGAAAGGGTGTTAGAAAGTTGACTTTTTCTTTATCAATAAAAACAATCACATGATTCCCCTTCATTCCTTTAATGTGGTATATTCATGGATTTTCATTTGTCGATTGCAAAGATGCCAAATCACCTTTGCACTTCAGGAATAAATCCCACTTGCTACAGTCTTTTTAATGTACTCTTTTTTTTTTTAAAAGAGTTATTTATTTATTTGAAAGAGTTACACAGAGAGAGGAGAGGCAGAGAGAGAGATAGAGGTCTCTCAGGCCAGGGCATTAACCTGCTGTGCCATAGAGGCGGCTCCTTAATGTACTCTTTTTTTTTTTTTTTTAATTTATTCAACAGAGTTAGAGAGAGAGAGACAGAGAAAGGTTTTCCTTCCATTGGTTCACCCCCTAAATGATGGCTACGGCTGGAGCTAGGCTGATCCGCAGCCAGGAACCAGGTGCTTCCTCCTGGTCTCCCATGCGGGTGCAGGTGCCCAAGCACCTGGGCCATCCTCCACTGCCTTCCTGGCAGAGAGCTGGACTGGAAGAGGAGCAGCCAGAACTGGAACTGGGGTCCATATGGGATGCTGGCGCCGTAGGCGGAGGATTAACCAAGTGAGCCATGGTGCCGGCCCCATGTACTCTTTTTTTTTTTTTTTTAATTTTTTTTTTTTTTTTTTTTTTTTTTTTGACAGGCAGAGTGGACAGTGGGAGAGAGAGACAGAGAGAAAGGTCTTCCTTTGCCGTTGGTTCACTCTCCAATGGCCGCCGCAGCAGGCGCGCTGCGGCCAGCGCACCGCGCTGATCCGATATGGCAGGAGCCAGGAGCCAGGTGCTTTTCCTGGTCTCCCATGGGGTGCAGGGCCCAAGCACCTGGGCCATCCTCCACTGCACTCTCTGGCCACAGCAGAGAGCTGGCCTGGAAGAGGGGCAACCGGGACAGAATCCGGCGCCCCGACTGGGACTAGAACCCGGTGTGCCAGCGCGTAGGCGGATTAGCCTAGTGAGCCGCGGCGCCGGCCCCCATGTACTCTTAAGTTCTGTTCACTAGTATTTTGATGAGGATTTTTATATCAATATTCATCAGGGATATTGGTCTAGAGTTTTCTTGTATTGTCTATGGCTTTTGTCTTATAATAGTGTTCCTATAGAATGAATTTGAATGTGTTACTTTATCTTAAACTTTTCAAAATAGTTGAGGGGGAATGGCATTAATTTTACTTTTAATGTTTGATAGAATTTATCATTGATACTGTCTGGTCCTGGGATTCTCTCTGTTGGGAGGTTTTAGATGACCTATTCAATCTCCTTAATAGTAATAGGTCTATTCAGATTTTTCAGGTTCTTCATGATTCAGTCTTAATAGACTGTATATTTCTAGAAACATCTCATAGGTGACATCTAGGTTATCCAATTTGTTGGCATACAATTGTTCATAGTATTTTCTCATAAATTTTTTCTATTTCTGTAAAGTCAGTTGTAATGTCATCTGATTTTAATTATTTTTCTTATTAATTTAGCTAAAGCTTTTCCAATAATACTGATCTTTACAAAGAACAAACTCTTGTGTTGTTAAGTTTTTCTACTGTTTTGTAGTCTGTTTATTTCTCTCTGCTTAATCTTTATTATTTCCTTCTTTCTGCTGGTTTTAGTTTTAGCTTGTTCTTCCTAGTTCCTTAAGGGGTAAAATTAGGTTGTGGATTTTGTATCTTCCTTCTTTCTAGAGTAATTTCAAAATTGTTATTTATTTTAGAGGCAGAGAGAGAGAGAGATACTGAGGAGATAGAGAGTGAGCGCTCCCACCTGCAACAGCCAAGGCTGAGCCAGGGCCACAGCCAGCAGGCAGCAACACAAGCCAGACCTCCTACATGGAGGCAAGAACCCAATATTGAGCTACCAATAATGACTCCCAGGGTCTGCCCTGGCAGGAAGCTGGAGTCAGGAGCCACAGGCAGCTACCAAACCCAGCAATCCAATGTGGGATGTGGGCATCGTAACCAGGAGCCAAACACCCATTCCTTTTCTTCTTTTTATTTGTTCTTAACTTTAAAAAGTTATTTATTTGCAAGGAAAAAGGGGAGGAGATGGAGGGAGAAAGTAAGGAAGAAATAAGAAGGGAGAGGGAGGGGGGAGGGGGAGGGGGAGAGGGAGAGGGAGAAATCGATCTCCCATCGATCCACTGGTTCACTCCCCAAGCGCCTGCAGTGGCTGGGGCTTTGCAAGTCTCCCACACGGATGTCAGGAACCAAGTCCTTGAGCCATCACCTGCTGCCTCCCAGGGTGTGCATTAGCAGGAAGCTGGAATCAGGAGCTGCCTGGACTCTCTAACCCAGGCACTGAGGTACGGGATGCAGGTATCCCAAGGGGGCGTCTTACTGTTGCACTAAACGTTCGCCCTCAACCACCTTTCTAACAGTTAAAAACTGTTTGGACACTGGCATCGGTGCTGTCAATCTCTTGCCTTGTAAAAGAGCCTCAAGCACTGGAGGGTAGGTTGGATTCCTATACAACTCGACTGCACCTTTCAACACGTTCCTGTTAGGAATTCCTTCACCACGACGCAGCTGCTGGCAACTGGATTCAAGAAGCCAGGTCGCAGAGAGTAACGGTCAGGGTTTCCTGTCCCTGTCTTCTCCCTCTCCCATGAGCCAGCCCTTGGACAGTGGCGCTGTCCCGCTAAGGTCTCGCAGCGACCCGCTCTCCCAGGAAGTCTGGCGGAGCTCCTGTCCAGTAAGAAAACGAAGCGTTCCGTCCCGGAACGACCTTCCAGTGGGCAAGAAGGGGCTCAGGAGGCAAGAGACTGAGAGATGTTCTGAAGGGAAGTGCGTCCTCAGGAGAGAGGAGCGGGGACAGCGGGTCCACTCTAAAAAAAAAAAAAAAATCCTGCACGGCTCTGGGGCGCGAAACGACAGGGAGGGGCGAGGGGAGGCGGTGTGAACCGCCGGAGACGGGAAAAGAGAGGCGCCCGGGTGCTAGGGCGAGGCCGGGAGTCGCGAGGCCGGCGCCACGCAGCGCGCATGCGCGGGGCCCGGAGCCGAGCGGGGCAGCCGTCTGCGCCAACCGCTCCGGCCTCGCCCGGCGCCGGCTGCGGCCGCTCCAGTCCCAGCGCAGCGGCCCGGCTCCCGCCTGTCTCCTCCCCGCCGCCGCCCAGAACCCGGCTGCTCCGCCAGAGCCGGCGAGACCGCGGCGCCAGCGTCGACGGCGGCTGCGACGGCCTCGGGAGCGCGTGAGGCTCCGGGGTCGCGGCGGCGATTGGCCGGCCGCGGCGCCCGCTCCCAGAATGCAGCGCATGGCGCGTCATTGAAGAGAGACCATGATGGCGGCAGCGCTGGGGCCCCCAGAAGTGATCGCTCAGCTGGAGAACGCGGCCAAAGTTCTGATGGTGAGGACACCGCGCCCCACGGACCCCGGGATCCGCGGGCCTCCGGCCAGCCCTGCCGCCCAGGCCTTGCTGCCTGCTGGGCTGGCGGCCGGGAAGGGCCTTCGGGGAGCTCTGGAGGTGGAGGAGGAGGTGGCAGTGGCGTGGCGCAGGATTCTTCATCCTACTTTCCTTCTGCCTCGGTTCCCTCTTTTCTGGGACTGTCCCCTTAGCCTGGTTGCCCGGCACGGCAGCCAAGGCCTTGGAATATAGTGGTGCAGGAAAGAGGAGTGCCTGTGCGCCAGGCTTACCCGACCCTCTGCTCGGCGGACTGGGGCTCAGAACCAGCCGCGGGAAAGGAGGTCGGGGTTATATGTCCGCAGAGCCTGGGGTCGGGAGATTTGTGGGGGCTGTGTGGGCGCCGCTGGCGAGTTGATGCCAGAAGGGGAGGGATGGCACAGTGCGGGGGACGTTGGCAGCCCCTGTTTCTCCTCGCGTGTTCGAGTCCTTAGGCACTTTCCCTGACAAGCAGCCGCCTTTGGGGGAATCGCAGCCGGCAGCACGTGGAAGGACCGCCGGGAGGGAGGGAGGGTGGGGATTCTCTGGGACCAAGGTCATTGGGGCCAAACTTAGGCCGGTGCCGAGCTGCCTGCGGGTCGCGCGTTTTGGAGAGCTGAGTCTGTGCTCTACTCCGAAACTTTGTTCTTACACTCCAGTAGATAGTTTGATGAGGTTATTTGCTGAGGGAGTTTGAGAAGGCCAAGTCAGAGGATTAAAAATATTCCACGCTTACAGTAAAGGCAACTTAGTAAACTTTTAACAGATTGGCTGTCTCAGCTTTGTTTTTGGAGTTTTTTTTTTTTTCTGTAAGTTTGAGGCTCATTTATTCGATTACTTGCACTGATTCAGACTTTGTAAGAATTGAATGCTTTGTTGCCTTCTTGGACTTTTTTTTCCTTTTGGTGTTTGGATTATGTGTTTGAGCATATGTAAGAATGTCTGAACTAATTCTAGCATAGTTTGTAGTTCCATTTATCAAGTTCTGTTTTCACACTCAACCCTTGATATTAGCCGCTTTGGAAATGGAGAAGTCTAATAAAAGCATGTTCATTATGAGTCAAGTTAATATTTTGCCTCAAAACTGGCAGGTTGTCGTTTTCAGACTTTTGGAAATTATGCCCAGAAAAAACTCTTGTAGTGTCTCACTTAATACAAGGTTTTTTTTTTTTAATTTATATTTAATAAATATTAATTTCCAAAGTACAGTTTATGGATTACAATGGCTTTCCCCCCCATAACTTCCCTCCCACCCGCAACTCTCCCATCTCCCACTCCCTCTCCCATTCCATTTGCATCAAGATTCATTTTCAATTATCTTTATATATAGAAGATCAATTCAGTATAAATTAAGTAAAGATTTCAACAGTTTGCACCCACACAGAAACACACAGTGTAAAATACTGTTTGAGTGCTAGTTATACTGTTAATTCACATTGTACAACACATTAAGGACAGATATCCTTCATGAGAAGTAAGTGCACAGTGACTCCTGTTGTTGACTTAGCAAATTGACATTCTTGTTTATGGCATCAGTAATCACCCTAGGCTCTTGTCATGAGTTGCCAAGGCTATGGAAGCCTTTTGAGTTTGCCGACTCTGATCATATTTAGACAAGGTCATAGTCAGAGTGGAAGTTCTCTCCTCCCTTCAGAGAAAGGTACCTCCTTCTTTGATGGCCCGTTCTTTCCACTGGGATCTCACTCGCAGAGATCTTACATTTAGGTCTTTTTTTTTTTTTTTTCAATTTAATTTTATTTCTTTGAACGTCAGGATTACAGAGAGAGAGGCTAATAGACATAGAAGTCTCCCATCTGCTGGTTCACTCCCCGACTCCATCCGGGGCTCCCTACGTGGATGGCAGGGACCTAGTAGTTCAGCGTCTGCTGCTGCTTTCACCCGGGTGCATTGGCGGGGAGCTGGATAGGAAGTGGAGCAGTCAGGACTCACCCAGAGCGCATAGGGGATGCAGACGGCAGCTTATCTCTTGGGCCACAATCTAGGCCCCATACAAGGTCTTTGAAGCTCTTTAAAATACAACGTTAAGTAAAACCCTCGTAATTTGCTAGGAACTAAAGACCCCATTTTTGTTACATTCTGGAAGTATTTCACCCCCCCCTCCACACCTCCAAAAGACACTGCTCTTATGTTGAATTGGTGAGTTCGTGGCCATCATTGGCCTGATACGAATTACTGTATATTTGTGCTTGCCGGTACCTTCCCTGTTCCTTGGCAAGGCTGGCTTTCATCACCTATAAAGGGTAGGTGAGAAGAATGGTAGTAAGTACTGTTTATTGAGTACCAGATATTGGGCTTGATGCTTTACATACTTTTCCTATTTTATTATTCCTTGCAACAGCTTTACAAGGTTGTGTGTAAGTTCAAGTGTCCCAAGTTACATAATTACAAAGTGGTTGATCAGATCAAAGTGGTTGAGTTCAGATCTTGAACTCAGGTCCGCCTGGCTCTGAAGCTGGGTCTCTTTCCACTATGCCACACAATCTGCCATATATATTATTTAGATAGACCTTTCTGTGTTCTTTTTTATCTTACTAGAAGAAAATATAAAATATTATATTATTAAAAATAGGAAACCTCTTAAAAATTTTTATGTATAATTTTAAAATGTGTAAGAGTAGCAGTTATTGCATTATTTCTGTTAAAAAGTTATATTCAAATTTATTATTAAAGCAAAAATTTATTGAGTGCATACTATGTTCAAGGTACTTTGCAAAGCACCTTAAATATATTACCTTATTTGATTTTCAGTATCTCTATGAGGTTGGTATTACTTTGGTTTTCATTTTTTAGACTAAGGAACTCAACCATGTAGATAGTAAGTAACTTACCCAAATTTACATGGAAAGGGGTAGAGTAGGGTCTGAGACTCCGCTTTGTCTTTTCCTAGTCTGTAGTTTTTTTTTTGTTTGTTTGTTTGTTTTAGATTTATTTAATTGAGTTACAGAGAGAATGAGAGAGAGAGAGATCTTCCATCTGCTGGTTCGCTCCCCAGATGGTTGTTGGGCCAGCACGGGGCCAGGCCAAAGCCAGGAGCCAGGAGCTTCTTCCAGCTCTCCCACATGGGTGACAGGGGCCCAAGCACTCTGGGCCATCTTCTGCTGCTTTCCCCGGGCCATTAGCAGGGAGCTGAATTGGAAGTGGAACAGACAGGACAGGAATCAGCCTGTATATGGGATGCCAGCATCCCAAGCGGCGGCTTTACCTGCTATGCCACAATGCCAGCCCCTAATCTGTGGTTCTTAACCAATAGGATAGTGGGACCACTATAGTAAGTAAATGAATTCATTTGGGAATATTGAAAATTGCTAACGTGACTTCAGTTATTAAGCATTAAAATATATATTTGAAAAAGCATGATTGTAGCATTTCTGTTGGTCTGAGGAAATCGTGAAGAAAATTGCTGTTTCAACTTAATATTTTTCGAAATTCAAAGTAATTAGTGATGTGGGTCATAACTCTGTTCAGTTTTTCTTTTCTTTTCCTTTTTTTGACAGGCAGAGTTAGTGAGAGAGACAGAGAGAAAGGTCTTCCTTCCGTTGGTTCACCCCCCAAATGGCCAACCAGGAGCCAGGTGCTTCCTCCTGGTCTCCCATGCAGGTGCAGGGCCCAAGCACTTGGGCCATCCTCCACTGCCTTCCCAGGCCACAGCAGAGAGCTGGACTGGAAGAGGAGCAACCGGGACAGAATCTGATACCCCAACCTGAACTAGAACCCTGGGGTGCCGGCGCTGCAGGCAGAGGATTAGCCTAGTGAGCTGCGGCGCCGGCCTCTTTTCAGTTTTTCTGTCCAGTAGCCTATGTAGTTCTTCTATGAAAATCAGCATAGAATTTGAGTGTGCATAACAATCGTAACATCTTTTAGCATACAGACTTTTTTTTTTTTTTTTTTGACAGGCAGAGTGGACAGTGAGAGAGAGAGACAGAGAGAATGGTCTTCCTTTGCCATTGGTTCACCCTCCAATGGCCGCCACGGATGGCGCACCGCGCTGATCCGATGGCAGGAGCCAGGTACTTATCCTGGTCTCCCATGGGGTGCGGGGCCCAAGCACTTGGGCCATCCTCCACTGCACTCCCTGGCCACAGCAGAGGGCTGGCCTGGAAGAGGGGCAACCGGGACAGAATCCGGCGCCCCGACCGGGACTAGAACCCGGTGTGCCGGCGCTGCAAGGTGGAGGATTAGCCTAGGGGAGCCATGGCGCCGCCCTCGCATTGCTTCTTGAAGCCTCGCATTGCTTCTTGAAGTCAGTGTATCACAGTACCATAAACGCTATATTTTATTACTTGACTGGAAGTTTCTCAGTTATAGTCAGTCCTATTTAGGTTATTAGATAATTTGGCCAGAACACTACTGTGAAAAACACAATTTATGGCTTTTATAGGTTTCAATGTAAAGAGTGATTTGCTCTTAGGTAAAAACAAAGAGTGTGTATATTTTTTGTACATAATTGTAAATACTGCATAGTCTTCTGATTCAAGGTGGGGAGATTTCTTGCTAGGAAATACATTTGAAGGTGAATAAGCTAGAATGAGGGAGAACTGTTGTAGATATTTGAGATGATATTAGATACTTATCGAAGTAAATAAAGCTGATCACATTTCCTGTGCTAACATTCTCTTCAGTGAGTCTTCCTGACTATGAATTTAGCAAGTTACCTAAAAGTAAAACTAAAAATTTGATGTTGAAGATACATTTTATGGTATTTAGAAATTACAACAGTAATGCTGGAATACATTATTTTAAAGTATATTAACAACATAAATATACAGAATAAAAAATGAGAGTTCCCTTCCCTAAGTTTTTACACTAATCATTTAGGTTTTCATTTTTTACATAAGTGAGATAACCTAAGTATTAGCTTTGATTTAAAAAAAATCTTAGAGATAACTTTCTGAACAGTAAGAAATTCAAACTGTACAGCAGGCTATTTGGGGAGAAATAAAATTTCC